TTTTTTTAATTTTTTTTTTTTTTCCTGGATTCAGCAAAGAGCTGGGAGGAAAAACCCAAAATTCACCAACAACCAATGAAACATTTGTGGCGTTTTCTCCTTGCTCCCATTAACATCCAAACTGAGTTGTGTTGGAATCCTAGGTGCTGAAAATTTTAAACTTTCTGTGCTGAAGAGCACAGACCCGCAAGAAAATCCTGTGTTTGACCTAGGACCATAAAAAAAACTTCCAGAGTTGATTAGTAACACTAAGATTACAAATGTGTACTTTGATTAGAAGTAATATCACTAAATAAAAAACCTAAAATTTAAGATTTTAAAATATAACAACCTATATAAGGCAAAATATAAGTTTTAGAACAGTAACTAATTGTTCTTCACAAGTTTAAGTGGTATTTTATAATTAGACAGAAAAGTCTGTGTTGTTGACTTCGCGTAATTAGTTATTAAGCTAAAAATAAAAATAATTTAAATATGATTTCTTAGTTAAATAATTTAAAAGACCTTGTGTAGAAATAGCTAACCTTTTTGTAACTTATTAGTAAAATACTGTAAAACTCACAACTTAAAATATAAATAAAAGCAATAAACATCTAAACCTAAACATAAATAAAACATAATAACCACCTAAACCTAAACATGATAAAACTGAAATATCTAAAGCTAAACATAAATAAAACCTGAACATTTAGACCTAAATTCCCTCTCAAATACCTTCAGTCCCAACCTTAACAAAACCAAAAACAGCCCCAAGAGCCACCAGGCTGGGAGCTGATTTTTGCTGTTGGGAGCGAACAGATCGTTACTAATTTAATTAATGCCAGGCTGATTTCTGCTGGCAGGACATGGTGCGAGGGAACAGGTACAAAACCATCCGCTGGAGCTTTGTGGAGTCGCTGGAGCCCCCCAGGGTGGTGCACGTGCGCTGTGAGGGCGTCCTGAACCGCGGCAACCTCTACGGGCAGGTGACCGTGAGGATGCACAGCCGCCAGGTGAGCCGGGCCCGGGGCACGGCCGGCTCTCCCACAGCCTGCTCCGGGGGGGACAATCCAAATGTTCCCAGCCATTCCTGGGAGCTCACAGCCGGCTCTCCCACAGCCTGCTCCGGGGGGGACAATCCAAATGTTCCCAGCCATTCCTGGGAGGTCACGGCCGGCTCTCCCACAGCCTGCTCCGGGGGGGACAGGCCCCGTTCTCCTGGGATGTCACAGCTGGGTCTCCCAGAGCCTGCTCCGGGGGGGACAATCCAAATGTTCCCAGCCATTCCTGGGAGGTCACGGCCGGCTCTCCCACAGCCTGCTCCGGGGGGGACAGGCCCCGTTCTCCTGGGATGTCACAGCTGGGTCTCCCAGAGCCTGCTCCGGGGGGGACAATCCAAATGTTCCCAGCCATTCCTGGGAGGTCACACTTGGATCACCCAGAGCCTGCTGCAGGGGAGACAGGCCCCATTCTCCTGGGATGTCACACTTGGATCACCCAGAGCCTGCTCCGGAAGGGAAAGGCTCCATTCTCCTGGGATGTCACACTTAGATCATCCAAGAACCTTCTCCAGGATGAACAATCCCCATTTTCCTGGGATGTCACACTTAGATCATCCAGGAACCTTCTCCAGGATGAACAATCCCCATTTTCCTGGGAGGTCACTTGGATCACCCAGGAGCTTTCTTCAAGATTAACAATCCAAATTTTCCCAGCTTTTCCTGAAAGGTCACACTTAGGTCACTCAGGAACGTTCTCCAGGCTGACTAATCCCAATTTTCCCAGCCTTTCCTGAAAGGTCACAGTTGGATCATCCAGGAGCCTTCTCCAGGATGAACAGTCCCCATTTTCCCAGCCTTTCCTCCTAGGAAATTCCATCCCATCTTCCCTCACCAAGCCCAACCTGCTGCCAGCCCAGCACAGAGATCCCAGCCCTTTTTTGGGTTGGAAATCCCTTAAATCCCATCCCATTGCTAGGGCCATCTCTCATTATCCCAGGTCCCTCCTAACCCCATCCATCCTGTGGGATTTTTTGGGGTCTTTGGACAGATTTTGGCCATCTATGACCGCTTTGGGCGGCTCATGTACGGCGGGGAGGAGATTCCCAAGGATGTTCTGGAATATGTTGTGTTTGAGAGGTACCTGGTGAACCCCTATGGAACCTGGAGGATGCACGGGAAGATCATCCCAGAGTGGGCCCCACCGAAGGATCCCATCATTAAGGTGGGAAAAGGCTGGAAAATGCAGATCCCGGGGGGGAAAATGCAGATCCCTGGGGGGAAAATGCAGATCCCTGGGGAAAATTCAAATCCCTGGGGAAAATTCAAATCCCTGGGGATCGTTCTGGGCAAAGCTGAGCTGCCTGGGAGGGCAAGGTGGGGGGTTCCTCCACGGGCAGAGCTGTTTGGAATGTCCATGGAATTGTCCCTGGAGCGCCTGGGAGCTGGAATGGGGGGCTGAGGGCCTGGAATGGCTGAGGGCAGGTCTGGGATAATTTTGGGAATTATTTCCCTCTGTGCCCGACCTCCATAAGTGTCTCTGCCTCCTGTGTTACTAAAAATAGATCTTGGAGAAGAAGGAGGGGAGAATTCCAGTGTAATTCAAGGCTTCCCACCCCATTCCCTTCTGCCTCCATCTGATCCCCCTTTTTTCCCTCTCCAGAACCCTCTGCTCCCCTTTTTCCCGCTGATTTTTGTCCCTTGCTTTTCCAGACCGTGATGATTCCTGGCCCAGCCCCGGATCCCTCACAGGAGCAAGAAACAGTGAAGTAGAAAGTTCTGGAACGTGGACAGGGGCAGCAAACAGGCCAGGAGGGAGGATTGGGAATGTGATGGACGTGGCCGTGCCTTCAGGAGTGGGCTCCAGCCACTCCAAATTTGTCCTTCAAGGAGCCAGAGGGGCTGGGAGCGGGACCTGGATGAGCTCTGGGAAGAGCTGGGCTCTGTCCCACACTCTGTGCTGCAGCCTCACCCTCGCTGGCTTTCTGTGAGGATGAGGAGCCTTGGGAGCATCCACAGCCCACCCTCTGTCCTGAATTCCATGGGAGAGCCCTTGGAATATTTGTCACCTCCATGGGAGGTGTCACAGAGCTGCTGCTCAGGCATTAAAACTTCACCAGTGGCTGTTGGCACTGTTTTTTTCCCACCTCTCTTTCTCTGCTGATTCCCAAACTCCTGTTTGTGAACAGAAACCAGGAAAACTTTAAATCGAGCTCTGTGGTGAGGTCAGGGGCTGCTGCCGTTGGGGTTTCCCAGAGGAGCTGCAGCACAGCTGATCACTGGATTTCATTTCAGTTTTGGCTGCTCGCGAGGGGCTGGGGTTGGTGTTGGTGGCAGAGCTGCTGCTGTCACTGAGGGCCTGGCACCATCCTGTGGACACGGTGACATTTGCAGCTGTCCCTGCTTTGCCTGCCTTGGGAGAACACTTCTTTTTCCCCCCCTGTGAGGCTCCTTCTCTATTCCTGCTCTGCTCAGCCAGTTCTCCTCACTGACAGAAAAATCCTCCCTGCGCACCCAGGGACAAACCCTTTTCTCCTTCTTGTCCTGCTTTTCAACTCAGCCACTTCCAGAGCGTGGGAGAGTTCCAGGATTTTTTATTTCTTCCTTGAGAGGGATTTTGCAGAGCTGTGAAAAGAGGAGCTGTGGCTCCTTTCTGCTCCTCAGTGTTCCTTTTGGGAGGGCAGGACCTCCTCTTTGTGCTGTGCTGGGAGAGGAGCCAGCAGTGGAATCCCTGCCATGTCCTTTGGGATGTCACAGGGGTGGCACAGTCCCTCTGTTCCTAAAAAAACCCTTTTCCATGGAGCCTCTGCCTCGCTCAGGAGCTGAGTGTGGGAGCTCAGATCCCTCCGTGGAGCTCAGGAAAGGAGGGGATGGAATTCCTGAACCCAGAGGGAGGAGAGGATCGGGATTGTTCAGGCTGGAAAAGGGGATTTTTGGGGTGACCTCACTGAGGATTCCCTGAAGGAGCTACAGGAAACATGGAGAGAGGGGTGAAGGGACAGGACACAGGGAATGGGCTCCCTCTGCCAGAGGGCAGGGAGACAGGATATTGGGAAGGAATTCCTCCCTGGGGAGGTGCTGAGGGGCTGGGATGGGATTCCAGAGCAGCTGGGGCTGCCCCTGGGTCCCTGGCAGTGCCCAGGCCAGGCTGGAGCAGCCTGGGGCAGCGGGAGGTGTCCCTGGGTGGGATTGAAGGTCCTTCCCTCCAAGCCCAGGGTTACCCAGCCCTGTCTCGGAATGAAAAGGGGTTTTTTTTGAGTGGAATGTGGCTTTTTTGGGAGAATGGCCTTCCCTTCCAGTCAGCCCCTCTCCATCCTCTGCCACTTAACCCCTCCACTGCTGGATTTCCTCTCTCCCCTCAGGATATCCCAGCTCTTCCCCACCTCACTGAGAGCCTCTCCCAGCACACTCCGTAGATAATTCCGTTTATTTCCTGTATTTACACAAAATTACACAACCAGGACCTTCAGCCTCACACCCCCAGACCCCCCAGTCCAACACCAGAGCTGGGCAGGGGGGAGCAGCCTCCAGCTCCAGGGAGGGATGGAGGGAGGGATGGATCCATGGATGGATCCATGGATGGGTGGAGGGAAAGGACAGAGGGATGGATCCATGGATGGATGGAGGGAAAGGACAGAGGGATGGATCAATGGATGGATGGATGGATCCATGGATGGATGGATGGATGGATCCATGGATGGATGGAGCTGCTGGAGCTGGGATCCCCTCACACCCCACTCCCATCCCGGGCTCTGCCCTGCCCGGGGCGGGTCCGGGAGGGCTCCGTGCTCTCCTCCTCCCACGGACACACCTCAGAGCTTTTCCTCGTGTCCAACCCGGGCTTGGCAGGTGCTGCTGGAGCCTCTCCAGCTTCCCAAGGACAAACCTCAGCCAGGCCAGCGCCAGGGCTGGAGCTGCTGCCCGCCCCTGGGTGCGGGGTGCTGGGCAGCAGCCGGCACAGGGGCTTGTGCTCGGCTTCCCCGTGGGATCTGCCCCTGGACTTCTCCAGAAATGTTGGAGACGCAGCGCTGGCTCCTGGCTGTCCCATCCCTGCAGGGGAACCTCTTTGGGCTCCCTGTGGCTGCACACCTGGCTGGGAGATTTCCTCCTCCAACCCAATGGGCTCTGCTGCTTCCCAGGGGCAAATTTCAGATTTCCTGCTGTCTGTGCTGTCGGGTTTCTTGGATGGCTCCTTCCCCACTGCAGATTTCAGGGACAGCTCCTCCGTGTCCAGGCTCTCCCATGGACAGACGGACTCTCGGTCTCTGCTCCCCTTCTCCACAGCTTTGGAGGCTTCTCTTGCTGGGAGCTTCTCCTTACCTGGGCCAGTTCCTTTCTCCAGCTGAGGCTCAGCCACCTCCCAGGGACAGATCTCTGCTTTGCTGCTGGATTCCACGTCCTGAGACTCCCAGGGACAGATCTCTGCCCTCTCCGAGCTCTGGGATTTCCCTGGAGCTGCTCTGGGCAGTGCTGAGCTCCCAGTGTGGGGTTTGGCCGGGGGCTGCTCCATGTCCAGGCTCTCCCAAGGACAGATGGACTCTCGGTCTCTGCTACTCTTCTCCAGAGCTTTGGAGTCTTCTTTTCCTGGGAGTTTACCCTTAGTTGGGGCTGTTCCCTTCTCCAGCTGAGGTGCAGCCACCTCCCAGGGACAGATTTCAGCTTTGTCACTGGATTTAGAGCCCTGACTCTCCCAAGGACAGATCTCTGCCCTCTCCGAGCTCTGGGATTTCCCTGGAGCTGCTCTGGGCAGTGCTGAGCTTCCAGCGTGGGGCTTGGCCGGGGGCTGCTCCATGTCCAGGCTCTCCCAAGGACAGATCTCTGCCCTCTCCGAGCTCTGGGATTTCCCTGGAGCTGCTCTGGGCAGTGCTGAGCTCCCAGTGTGGGGTTTGGCCGGGGGCTGCTCCGTGTCCAGGCTCTCCCAAGGACAGATTGATTCCCTCTCTTTGCTCCCCTTCTCCAGAGCTTTGGTCTCATCTTTTCCTGGGAGTTTCTCCTTTCCAGGTGCTGTTCCCTTCTCCAGCTGAGGTGCAGCCACCTCCCAGGGACAGATTTCAGCTTTGTCACTGGATTCAGTCTCCCAGGGACAGATCTCTGCCTTCTCCGAGCTCTGGGATTTCCCTGGAGCTGCTCTGGGCAGTGCTGAGCTCCCAGTGTGGGGTTTGGCCGGGGGCTGCTCCGTGTCCAGGCTCTCCCAGGGACAGATGGACACTCGGTCTCTGCTCTCCAGGGATCCCTCCGTGCTGCCCAGCGCTGCCTGGCGCGTGATGCGCTTGTCCCACTTGGAGCCCCCAGCAGGGACCTGCTTTGCCTTTGGCTGCTGGGAGGGAGGTTCAGCCACTTCCCAAGGACAGATCTCAGCTTTGCTGCTGGATTCCATGTCCTGAGACTCCCAGGGACAGATCTCTGCCCTCTCTGAGCTCTGGGATTTCCCTGGAGCTGCTCTGGGCAGTGCTGAGCTCCCAGTGTGGGGTTTGGCCGGGGGCTGCTCCATGTCCAGGCTCTCCCAAGGACAGATGGACTCTCGGTCTCTGCTACTCTTCTCCAGAGCTTTGGAGTCTTCTTTTCCTGGGAGTTTACCCTTAGTTGGGGCTGTTCCCTTCTCCAGCTGAGGTGCAGCCACCTCCCAGGGACAGATTTCAGCTTTGTCACTGGATCTAGAGCCCTGAGACTCCCAGGGACAGATCTCTGCCCTCTCCGCGCTCTGTGATTTCCCTGGAGCTGCTCTGGGCAGTGCTGAACTCCCAGTGTGGGGTTTGGCCGGGGGCTGCTCTGTGTCCAGGCTCTCCCAAGGACAGATGGACTCTCGGTCTTTGCTCCCCTTCTCCAGTGCTTTAGAGCCCAGGACTCTTGATGGGAGTCTCTCCTTACTTGGAGAGACTTCTGTTCCCTTCTCCAGCTGAGGTTCAGCCACCTCCCAGGGACAGATCTCAGCTTTGTCACTGGATTTGGAGCCCTGAGACTCCCAGGGACAGATCTCTGCCTTCTCCGAGCTCTGGGGTCTCTCTGAAGGAGATTTGGGCAGGGGTTTGGCTGGGGGCTGCTTTCCCTTTTCCGGTGCTCTGGATCCCACTTTTTCTTCCCCTTTGGAAGTGCCATGCATGTCCTGCCTCGATCTCTCCTTCCCCGACGGAGCCGCAGCCTCTTCCCAGGGGCAGATCTCTGTTTTAGGGTGCAGTTCATCCTCCACCTCCCAGGGGCAGATGTTGGCCTTTTTGCTCTCCGTGGTTCCAGCCCGCTGGGGTGAGGGTTTGGGCAGAGCTGGGGGTTTCCCTGCGAGCCCCATCCCAGGCTGCTCCACACCTTCTCCAGATTTGGGGGATCCCTGCGTTCCCCCAGGACTGAGCTCTCCCTGCGCACTGCCGGCCCCGCTCCAGCTCCTTCCAGGGACCCGCTCGGGCTCGGGCTGGCTGCTCCCCTCTTCCAGCGCCTTCTCCGGGCTCTCCGGGCTCCCTTCGTCCTCCCGGGGAGCGATCGCCTCCTGGCGCAGCAAGGCTGCCCTTCCTGCCGGCGCTCCGAGCCAGCCGGGCGGACAAAGCTCAGCCCGCGCCGCGCCCCGCACGCTGCTCGGGGTGGGCTCTGCAGGCGGCTGCTCCTCCTCGGGGCGCTCCCGGGGCTGGAAGGACCTGCTGGTCCCCTCGGCCTCTTCGAGTGTCCCTTCCTCCGCTGTGACCCCAGGAACGTCCTCCCCCAGATCCGCTCCTTGGTGGCCCGCGCTGGGTGGCTCCAGACCGGCACCCGCGTCCCCTCGGGCAGCGCTGGGCTCCTCTGCCGCCTTGTCCCCATCGCCCGTCCCCACGGCCGGGCTGTCCCGTTGTCCTCCTGTCCCGCTGTCCCCCCAGCCCGCGGCTTCCCCGGGGGTGGCGGCGTTGTTGTTGTGCTGGAGGGCGGGGGTCTCGAGGCTCGGCCCGCTCCCCTCGGGGCCTTTGGCAGCGGGGGCCGGGCTGACCCCCCCGAGGGACACGGCCGAGGCCTCTGCCAGGCCGGGCTTCTCCCTCCTGCTGCTGCCCCTCTTCCTGAGGCTCCCCTCGCTTTTCCCTTTCAGGATGCTCTTCCCCCTGGAGCGGTTGAGCGCTTTGATGGCGAGTCCCAGGCTCCGGAAACTCTTCGCGGGGGGCGCCTTGGGGCCGGGGGTGGTGGCCGCCGTGTCACCGGGGGTCCCCGACTCTGCTGCCTCGGCCGCTTTTTGTTTCCTGCCCAGGATCTCGTCCTGGACCAGCTCCCAGGGACAGACGTGTGCCGAGGTGGCGCTCGGGGTCAGCAGCCTGCCCTTCCCTGCCGGGGGGGACACGCTCTCCGGGCCGTCCCCTGCTGTCCCCTGCGCCTCTCCCGCCTGTGCCGGGGGGCCCGGCGGTGGCTCCGGGCCGTCCCCGAGCGTCCCCGAGCGCTGCAGGCTCTGGTAGCGGACGGGGGGCGGAGGGGGGGTTTTCTTCACGGTCACCCGCACCTTCCTGGCCGGGTGGGCGCTGTCAGCGCTGACGCTCTTGACGGGCGCGTAGGTGACATGTTTGTGCCCCTTGGCATCGCCCAGCGGGGCCGCGTCCTGCTGCGGCCGCCTCTCGGCGGGGCTCTGCGGTGTCGCGGTGTCGCTGGGGACCCCCGGGGCCGGCGCGGAGAGGTGGCGGCTGCCGTGCCACTGCTCGCGGGCGGCCCTGCGGGCGGCCAGCAGCGCCACTTCCCGCGCCCCGGCGACAACGCTGTGCGACTTCTGCAGGGCCGGGGCGCGGCCCGGGGGTCGCTGCCAGTGCCCCGCCAGGTTCTGGGCGCTGGCCGATTTGCACAGGAGCGGGGCGGCGTCCAGCGAGTCGCTGTCGGATTGCTCCAAGTCCGTCCCCGCCGCCGGCGGAGGCTCCTCGGGCGGGCTGGGGGCGGGCGACCCTCGGCGGGGCTCCCGCGGGGACCCCTTGGAGCTGCGGGACTTGCGCAGGGCCGAGGAGCGGCGCCGGGAGCTTTCGTCCCGCGTCCTCAGGCTGGTCCCGGCGGCATCCAGCAGCCGCTTGGCCGAGGAGCTGCGGCGGGACGGGGTCCCCGCCCGGTCCCCGGCGCTGCTGCGGCGGGACGCGCTCTCGGCCAGCTCGGCACCGCTGCGGCGCAGGATGGAGCGGGCCAGGCTGCGGCGGGAGCCGCGCTTCTTGGCCAGGTGCGGGTTGTTGGTCGCCATCCGCCACGTCTTGTGCACCTCCAGCTGTCGGTAAAGCTTCTTCAGCTCCTCCTGCGCCGCGGGCGGGGGGGACGCGGCAGAGAAAAGGGGGAGAGGAGAGCGCCTACAGCTGGGGCTGCGGCCGGGACCGCCCCGCCGAGCCCCGGGTTGTCCCCGTGTCCCCAAAGCCCCCCGCGCTGCCCAGAGGACGCAGCGGGTTTGTCCACCCGGGTGGGGTCACCCTGCACTCCCTCGTCCCCTCCCTCTGCTTTGCATCAGGAAAAGATTGCGAAAGGCACCTCTTACTCTGCACAGCTAGCGTCAAAAGAAGGTCCTGAGTGTGCCACCCACCCGAATGTCATCGGGGTCGAGACTGTGCTCGCTCCAGGCGGACGCGATGCTGCTGTTCATGCAGGAGCCCGAGCGCCGCATGTCCAGCTCGTCCTCGTACACCTCGGCCGTGATCTCCTCCCGCAGCGGCGAGCCCGTGTGCAGGAACTGCGCGGGGACACGGCGCAGTCACTCAGGGGGCCCTGTCCCAGCTCCCCGAGCCCCTGGGGTGAGTGTTAGTGATGGAATTGTGGAGGATGGAAACGCTCTCCGATGTCAGCGAGTTCGGCTGTTCCCCCAGGGCTGACAAAGCCACCGCTTACCCACGTCCCCAGTGCCACATCCTCACGTTCTGGAGCACTTCCAGGGGTGGGGACTCCACTTGTTCCAGTGCCTGATCACCCTCTCCATGAGAAATTTCCCCGATATCCAACCCAAACCTCCCCTGGCCCAGCCTGAGGCCATTCCCTTTCCTCCTGTTCCTGGGGGCAGAACCTGACCCTCCCCAGGTCCTGTCAGGGACTTGTGGAGAGCCAGAAGGTGCCTCTGAGCTTCTTCTTCTCCCGACTGAGCCCTCCAGCTCCCTGAGCCTCTTGTGGTGCTCCAGCCCCTTGCCCAGCTCCGTTCCTTCCCTGGAGTACCTTGGGAATGAAGAGCAGGGCCAGGGTCATGGTGATGGTGCCGTGGGTGTGAGCGAAGAAGAGCAGCAGAGTCCAGTCCGGATGCAGCGAGGGGACAAACAGGAACCTGGAAGGGACCAGGAGGGCAATGCCAGCTCCCACCACAGCCCCTCCCCACGTCCAGAGCCCACAGCCCCCCCTGCCTGGCCACCCAAACCCTTCCCATTGTGGGGGTCCTGAGCACCCAAACCCCCTTTCCTTTGGAGATCCAGAGCACGAAAACCCTCCCCACCTTGGGACGGCTCCTGAGCATCCCCAGGGGTGGGAACCTCAGTTCCTGGCCCTACCTGACCACGTGGAAGGTGGCAGAGACCATGAGCTCGTTGTGGAGGGCGATGCCCATGTAGCGGGGCTCGTGGAAGGCCGAGGGCACGGCGCGCGTGGCGTAGCACAGGAAGCTGCCCCACAGCAGGAACAGCATCTCGGCTGTGGGCACAGCAGGACGCGCCCTGAGCAGCCACCCCCAGCCACAGCAGCTTTTGGGGTGCTCAGCTGCTGCCCAGCACCCTCACCCCGAATGTTCAGAGGTGGGAATGGGGCATCCCCCAGCACGGCCTTCCCAAAGTTTGGGACTCAACACCAGGGGATGCTTAGGGGGGAGGGTGGGAGGCAGCTGGGGGACCCCAACCCTCCTTGAAACCTCCAGGAGGATTAAAGGGACAAGGGAATGAAAGCCCCAGATTATGGGATGGGCTCCATGGGGACTCCCAGATCTTTGCAGCTTAAGGAAGATTAAATGGATAAGAGAAGGAAAGCCCCACATTTCTGGGGTGGGGTCCATGGGGACCCCCGGGCCGGGCCGGGGGCCGGTCTCACCGATGACCATCATGTAATCCCAGCAGTCGTGGCCGCAGATGGAGAAGCGCAGGCCGCGGCTGGTCTGGGCGCGGACGACCAGCGGGATGTCCCTGCGGATGTTCTCCAGCGTGCCGATGGTCCAGGCCGCCAGGAACCAGAGCACCAGCAGCAGGATGGGCGCCAGCAGCCGCAGCACCCGCCCGCTCGACACGTAGGGAGCGCGCTGCGCCGTGCGCGACAGGAACACCTTCAGCACCCTGCCGGGGCCGCAGGGTGAGACCCTGCCCGTCCCAGTGAGACCCCCGCCCATCCCAGTGAGACCCCTGCCTGTCCCACTGAGACCCCTGCCCGTCCCAGTGAGACCCCCGCCCATCCCAGTGAGACCCCTGCCTGTCCCACTGAGACCCCTGCCCGTCCCAGTGAGACCCCCGCCCATCCCAGTGAGACCCCTGCCCATCCCAGTGAGACCCCTGCCTGTCCCACTGAGACCCCTGCCCATCCCAGTGAGACCCCTGCCCATCCCAGTGAGACCCCTGCCTGTCCCAGTGAGACCCCCACCCATCCCAGTGAGACCCCCACCCATCCCAGTGAGACCCCTGCCCATCCCAGTGAGACCCCTGCCCATTCCACTGAGACCCCAGCCCATCCCATTGTGGGGGTCCCAAGCCCTCCCACTCTGGGGGTCCTGAGACCCAAACCCTTTCTGCTGTGGGGGTCCTGGGCCCCCAGCTACCTGTAGAGCTTGAGGGTGATGGTGCCATAGACGATGGCGAAGCCGAGCATCCGCACCCAGCGCAGGACGATGCAGCGGAAGATGCTCGGCTTGAAGTACAGGATGAACACCTGGAGAAAGGGGGAGAAGGATCCGGGCTGGATCCCGCCTGCCCCAGCCTCGGGAACCACCCGCTTTTCAGGCCAGCGCTGTGCCACCCTCCCCCGTGACCCTGCAGCACCCGCTGCACTGGTGCGGGAGGGGAGAGGGGATTTGGGCAGCGATTAATTCCCACAGGCAGCGGGAGAAAAGGGATTTGGTTTTCTGAGAAGGTTTATACGGCAGCCCCCAGGGACCGTGCCAGCAAAATTAACAATTAGGTGGAGCCGTGCCCTGCTTGGGGCAGCTGCATCCTGGAAACCCCATCCTGGAGCTTTCCAGCCCTGGGGACAGCTGGGTACTCACAGGGAAGTAGAGGAGGAGGGACCCGAAGAGGATGGTCTCCAGCAGGACGATCCCTGACGTCCGGATCCTCTGCAGGGATACCAGCGTGAGGGTGCTGGGTGAGGGGCCAGGGCCAGGGCAGGGGGATCCCTGAGCCTGCAGGGTTTGGGGTGACAGTGGAGCGGGGGGACACGGGGACAGCTTGCCTTGCTCCGTCGGAAGTGGTAGGACACGAGCATGCTGAGGAAGATGGCCAGCATGCAGCAGGCCTGGCACGACAGCACCGCTGCCCGCAGCGCCGGGTCCTCCTGGATCAGGCAGGGCGTGTCGTCCTCGCAGGTGGCACAGCCGGGGGGGCACGGCCGGCACCCCAGCCGGGACCCCCCCTCTGTCCCTGCCACACCTGGGGACAGAGCAGTGGCTGGGGGGATCACGGCATTGGGGGGATCAGCGTATCCCAGGGCCTGGTGGCACCCCCACACCAGGGCACGTGTTCTGCGTCCCCAAAGCCCCCCAGCCCTGCCCCCACTGCTGCATCCGTGTGCCGCTGGGGACAGCAGGGACCCCGGGGCCTGGTGGCACCCACCTGCCCAGGCACCGCTGGCCACTCCGCCGGCCCCGTGAAAACCCGGCTTGCACCTGCACAGGTACCTCCCGAGGACGAAGCCGCGGCTCTCCTGGGGGACACACTGAAGGAGACAGCCTGAGACACGTCCCCCACCCCCTGTGTCCCCTCTGTCCCCAAATGCCCCTGCCCCAGGGGGCTCCAGCAGCCCCCAGCTCACGGGTACCTGACCTCCCCCAGAGCCGTGAGAAATCAGTGGTTAAACATTTCAGAATTAAAACCCAAAGCTTGGCCCCAAATCCCTCCCTAAAACCTAAATGGACACCTAATGCAGCCGAGCGCCCTAATCCTGCCCAGCCGTGACGGCAGCCTCGGCCCGGGCCCTGCTCCCTAATCCCCCCGGCCGTGGCGGCTCCGCCGGGCATTGTTGTTTTCTGGAGGGATGCCCGGCGCGGAGCCCGGCCCTCTGGAAGGCATCGCTGGTAGGAAACAGGAGTGGCGACGCCTTTCCCGCTTGGGGACAGCTCTGGAAGGACCCCGAGGCCGGGGGGCTGGGGGGCTCGCCCTGCCTGGGGGTGCTGCTGGTCGTGCCAAGCCCCGGGACGCTCGGGCACCGCTGTCTCCCCGGGGTGGGCGCTGCTGGGGGCACCGCGGTGGTGCTGCCAGCGGCTGCCAGGCCCCGTTCCCACCGTCCCCGCGGGGCCCGGGCAGGAGCAGCCGGGTCACACGGCGCGGCTGGCGGTGGGGAGGGAAGATTTGCACAATAAACCTCTCACGACGGTGCGAGAGCAGCTGAGCGAAGCAGATGGATCGCCCGGGAGAGGATAAAGCTCAGCCCGGAGGGAGGGACGCGGGGCATGGGCAGCCCGGCCGGGGCTCCGGGGGTGGCTGGCTGCGGGGTGCCCCGGTCCTGGCCGGGAGGGGATGGGCTGCGGGGTGCCCCGGTCCTGGCCGGGAGGGGATGGGCTGCGGGGTGCCCCGGTCCTGGCGGGGAGGGGATGGGCTGCGGGGTGCCCCGGTCCTGGCGGGGTGCCAGGGCGCGGTACCTGGGTGCTGTTGAGGTCACAGCGATGCGTGTCCGAGAACCAGCCCGGCCCGCTGGAGCACTGGTCGATGGCCGCCTCCCGCAGCTCCACGTCCACCCGCACGACCCCCCTGCGGCCAGGGACGGGGTCAGCCCAGGGGGTGGCGTGGGGCGCCCCTGTGCCCACCCAGTGCCACCGCTCTGGGGCCGATCCCAGCTGACCCTTCCCTCCCCAGCGCCTCCCTCTGCGGCTCCCCGTGCAGGGGGGTGCAGCAGGGACCCCCCAGTCCCGGGAGGGGTCCCGGCCCGGCTCACCCACCCCCAGGGCAGCAGTGACAGGGGGTGGCAGCGCAAGGTGGGCAGCACAGTGAGGGGACAGGGGGTCACCCCCGTGCCTGAGGATGTGTAAAAACACCTGAGCACCTGCAGGCACACGCAGAGGGACACGGGCAGGGCGCTGGGGACAGCCCGGGGTGGGTGACACATCCAGCTGCGCCTCCAGCACACACACGGGGCACCCCCCACCCCTTCTGACAGCCCCCCAAACCCCTCCGGGCTCCACTTACTTGAACTCGGGGCTGAGGTCGGGCTTGAGCCCGTAGAAGGCGGAGGAGAGCGTGACCGCCCAGGTGGGCAGGAAGCGACCCTCGCGGCACTCCAGGAACGGCGGGGACCAGCGCACGTGGCCCGGGTCCCCCACGTAGCTGTCCCCCCGCTGCCACTTGGGGGTCTCCAGGCTGCGCAGGTCGTTGCTGAGCACCCGCTTGCGCAGCGCCGGGACCCGCTGCGACTTGAGCGCGTTGAACCACTCGTTGTCCCAGCTGAGGTTGCCCAGGCTGGGAGCGGCGCCGGACACGTCCTGCAGCAGGATCTGCCCGTCCCCCTTGGTGGCCTGCAGCATCAGCCGGGGCTTGGGGGCCAGCGGGTGGGCGTCGAGGGCCAGCACCGCCCTGCGCACCCACGGGTGCCCCTCGGCCAGGCTGCGGACCAGCGCCTGGTACCACTCCACGTCCTCGGCCACGCTGGCCTCGCGGATGTCGTTGGTCTGGAAGAGCATGTTGAGGAAGTTGGCGGCGTGGGCCAGCGCCTCGGGGGCGGCTCGCAGGGCTGCCCGCAGCGCCGGGGGGGGCCCGGGCCCGGGGGCCGCCGCCGCCACGGCCCCGCTGCAGTTGGCCCGTGCCAGGCGCTCGGCATCGCCCGTGCGCAGGAACGCCAGCGCTGCCGCCGAGCCCTCGCCGTCCCCCGGCGCTCCCGGCTCCACGGTGGGCGCCCACGAGGATGAGGGGGCCGGGGACCACCCCTCCGGCCGCGGGGGTCTCTCCTGCGGGCGCTGCTCCGCCGCGAGCGCGGCCAGCTGCACCAGCACGGCGTGCAAGCCCCAGAGCAGCGGCCACCGGCACGGCCCCATGGCTGGGGCTCAGCGGAGCCCCCCGGCCCCCGGCGGCCCCCCCGGCCGGCCCGGGGGGCGCATGGCGGGCAGGGACCCCGAGCTGCCCGGAGCCGGCCCCGCGCTCTGCCGCCCGTTCTTCTCCCTCGGCGATGCCGGAGCAGACGTCACCGGCTCCAAACCGTGTTCAGCGGCTGGCGCTGCCCGGAGCCCCCCCGCCCGCCCCCGCGCTCCCGCTCGGTCCGCAGCGCTGCCCGGAGCCCCCCTGTCTGAGCCCCGTGGGGACCCCGCACCGAGCCCCGAGGGGACCCCGCGCCCCGGCCCCTCGGGCTGGCCGTGATGCAAGCGCATCCTGATGGGAAGCCATGGCAACGGCAACCAGAATTTTCCTGCCCGCATCCCCCTCCCCGCGGCCCCTCGGCAGCCGGGGGGAACGGGGCGCCCGCGGGATCCAATCCCGCAGTGTCCGGTGCCCCCCGGGCCGTGGGGTGGGACTGGGGGGTGGCACCCACGCGGGGCGTCCCTGTGGGGCTGGGGGCGCTGGGTGCGGGCAAGAGCGGGATCTGAAGCCCACCCCCCAACTGGGGTGTCCCGCGCAGCAGACCTGGGCTGCAGAGGGGAAACTGAGGCACGGGAGGGTGCTCAGTTTCCTTGCTCCAGCCTCAAGCAACCATGACCTTCCCCAGCCCGCGGGGAGGCGTGGGGAGAGCCGGTCCCGTCCCCTCTGCTCCGGCTGGGACACGCTGTCCGCCAGAACCGGGCAAGAGCCGCGCAGGGCTCGCGGTACGAAGCGCCGCGCGCCCGTGCCTCAGTTTCCCCCACCGCATCCCGCGGTCCCGGAGCAGGGAATGAGTCCGATGGGTCGCGGCTGGAGCTGCGTGTCCGGGAGCCCCCGGCCCCACCATCCGTGACCCCCCCGTCCCCGCGGGTGCCGGGACCGCGGCGGTGCCGGTGTTCCGAACCGCTCCCGCCCGTGGGTACTGGGGACTCGGAGCGGCTCCCGCGGCTCGGAGCGGGTGCCGGAGCCACCCTTCGGTGCCGGTGCCGCCGGCGGGTGCGGGGCTCGGAGCGGCTCCTGTGCTCGGTGCGTGTCCCGCTGCCCGCAGCGTCCCCGCGGCCCCTCCACGCGCGCCCGGGGGGCTCGGGGGCGCGGCCTCCACACCGGGGAGGGACCGGCGGCACCGGGAGAGGCGGGACCGGCACCGGGGGGCGCGGCCAGCGGCGGAAGCGCGGGGGCGGGGCGGCGG